TGGAATTGGAATGAATATGTAAATAATTTGTGGTTCAAAATGGCAAACTATACTGTTCCTTGTATATCTCTTGGGATGCTTTATTTTGGTTTTGTTCCTTCTATATATCTTGGGATGCGTTCCCCTTTTGAATGCTTTCTAATTCAATTTTATTTAACAAATAAAAAAATAAAAAAATGGCAAACTATATTAGGAAGGAATAAGGTGAAGGAAATTTTGGGTGAAACCGAAGGAGAAAAGTTCATTAAAAAAGAGACTTGGAGTGAGGAAGTGCAACAAAAGAGAACAAGCTTTAAAGCATGGCAAGAAAGTAGACAAGAAGACTTGGACACGAATACTAAAATCAAAAGTGAAGCAAAAAAGATACTAAGCAAAGTCAAGCAAAACTCTTTAATGTCTTATATGAAAATCTAGGCACAAAAGAGGGGAAAAATTATTTATATAAACTAGCAAAGAATCAAGATAGATCAACTGAAGACCTAAATTAAATTAAATGTATTAAGGACATAGATAACACAATTATAGTCAAGGAAAGCAATATATTAACTAGGTGGAAAAACTATTTTCAAAATCTATTAAACGAGGAATACCCTAGAGAGGAAGTAGAAGGAAAGGAATTTAACGTAGGAATGGAAGATAAAATCGCCAATAAGGAGGTAGAGGACACACTAAAGAAGATAGGAAAGTAATAAAGCGGTAGGTCTGGATAAAATACCCACAGAAGCTTGGAGAACGGTAGGTAATGTATGAATTGAGTGGCTAACAAAGTTGTTTAACAACAATCCTAAAACTAGGTCTAGGTATGATGCCAAATGAGTGAAGAACAAGTACAATAGTACCAAATTATAAAAATAAAGGGGATCTACAAAATTGTGATGATTATAGGGAAATTAAATTATTGAGTCATACAAAGAAAATATGGCAAAGGGTTCGGATTCATGCCAGGAAGATCCATAATGGAAGCTATATACCTACGACCAGTGTTTTTAAAGGCGCACCTCTCTAGGTGCCTACAAGCGCATGAATTGCACCTCATGATAGCCCAGGCGCAGCGACCTTCATTAGGCGCGCGCCTGAGACGCGCCTCACGCTTTTACTCAGGCGCGTCTGATCACTTATTTCCTCAAGTTGTTTTTTAATTATTTTTTTTGTTCTGTTCAGCTTTTTCCATGTGCTGGAATAAAAAGGAGCTTTTGTAAATTTGTCTTCTTGTGCAATAAAGGAATAAAATAAAGAAAAGAAAAGCAATGGTCAAATAAAGATGGATACAACATAGAAACGTGAGAGTGGAACTAATAAAGAAAGACCAAAAGCAGAGAAAGAAAGAAAAGGGAGTAGTTTGTTGCAGTGAACTTTGTCTTCTTGTTCAATAAAAGAATAAAATAAAGAAAAGAAAAGGGAGTAGCCAAGTGGTTTGTTGCAGTGAACTTTGTCTTCTTGTGTAATAAAAGAATTTAACAAAGAAAAGAAAAGGGATTAGCCAGACAACTTCTTAGTATGTCTTGATTTGCTTTGTTCTCATTTGCTTTGGAGTGCTGCCAGCTGCATTTTCATGTCGTTTTACTGTTTGGGGGCCTTAGTGGCATGAGTTTAAAATTTCCTGCCTTTTTTTTTTCCTTCCTGAATTATTTGAATGTATTTTGCTGAATTATTTTGAATGCATTTTCCTGAATGCATTTACCATTCCTGCTCCTTTTTTTTTTTTTTTTTGAATGCAGTTTGCTAAGTTCTGCTGAATGTTGTTTGCTGGATTTTGCTAGATTATTGGTTTAATTGTGATATATTTCCTATTTTTATTACTGGATGTTTATTGTTTAATTGTGTTCTTTTTGTTGAAAATTATTGTTTTAAATTTTTACTTGTGTGCCTCACATCACTTAGGCGTGCACCTCTCCGTTTGCCTCGCGCCTAGGCTCCAAGGGAACTCTAGCGCCTCAGTGCGCCTTTAATAACACTGCCTACGACAATTAGTTGAAGAGTGTAGGAGTAGTAAGCAACAAGACTTGCATTCCCCTTGCAAATCATAAAAAGTATCCAGGATATGAAAAGGAACATAAACACTAAAGTTTGTGCCACGTGTGGTGAAACTAGTGACTTCCCTATAAACATAGAATTGCGCCAAGGATCGGTGTTAAGCCCTATTCGAAATAATCTTAAATTAAATAACAAGAGATTTCCAAAATGAGATTCCATGGTGCCTGATGTTTGCTGATGATATAGTGCTCTTGCATACCTCTAAAGAGAACCTAACAATAAATCTAGAAATGTGGAGACATTCGAATTAAAACCAAGTATATGGAGTGCTAATTTAATAAAGAATTGGATAGTGATAATATAGTGATAACACTTCAAAATAAAAAGCTTACTCAAAACAACCATTTTTGCTACCTAGGATCATAATATAAAAGGATGGAGAGATGGATAGTGATATAACTAGTAGAATTCGAGCGTGATAGACAAAATGGAGACAAGCTAGTGGAATTTTATATGATAAAAGAATAACACAGTAAAAGGAAAATTCTGTAGGATTATTATTAGATCAACTATGTTATATGGAGCGGATTTTTTTTTTTTTTTTGACCAGTAAGATTTCGTTCGCGGCACTTAAGAGGGGAGCGCTCCCAAAGGAAAACAAAAGATGCCTAAGGCGGCTCTATAATTTCAAGCTATCCACAAAGTCGAAAAGATGCCCCAAAGATTTAAAATTTGTCCCATTGACCCATAAAAATAAGGTAGAAAGAATATTGTATTTGAGAGACCAAATAGGGGGCCTCCTCTCTATCGAAGTATCTCACATTCTTCTCACGCCGCTACCCCATACTAAACAAAGGAGGGTGGCCTTCCAAGCATATCGGGTTCGGCTCTCCACTATACACCCTCTCCAAGCCTCTAGCATGTCAACCGTGGACTCGAGAAACACCCAAGCCATGCCAAAAGTAACCAAGAACAAAGATCACACATCCCTTGCCACTGGGCAATGAAGGAGAAGGTGGTTCACTGATTCCTCCGTTACTTATACATGCAACACCAGTTCACGACTATCTGTCATCTCCTTAGGTTGTCGAGAGTGAGAATACTTTTGAGGGCAGCTGTCCAAGTGAAAAACGCCACCTTCATGGGGGCTTTTGTCCTCCAAATTGCCTTCCAAGGTAAGAAGGTTTGGCCTTGGATCACCGCAGGCTTAGGTAGAAAGACCTAATCTCAAAAACCCCTCTAGGCGTGCCCACCCATACCCTCACCCTCAACCTCACCCTCACCCACCTGGTTGTAGAGCAATGCAAATAGAGATCAAAGACCTCAATAAGTTCCCAATCATGAACCTCTCTACAAAACAACACATCCCAAGTCAACCGCCAATTATCAAGCTGATAACAGTCAGCTACCAATGCATTCCTATTCGTCGACATCCTGAACCTTTGAGCTAGAACAAAGTCCCCGCACCAATGATCCTCCGAAAACCTGAAGTACCTCCCACTCCTAACTCTGAACCAAATTCGTTTGGAGAACTCATCCCAACCCTTCCGGATAAGATTCCAAATTCCCACTCCCGCTGGATACTGCACCTCCCGAGACGACGAGCCTTTGTCTCCTTCCCCACAATGACAAGCAATGACTCTCCTCCATAATCTGGATCTCTTACTCCCAAATCTCCAAAGCCATGCCCAGCAAAGCCTTGTTGAATCAATCCAGCCTTCGAATCCCCAACCTCCCTTTTTGATAGGGAAACACAACCTCTCCCAGTTAATCAAGTGGTAACCATCCCATAAAAACTTCCTCTGAATCGCATCCAATCTTCGAACAACAGCCATAGGCATCGGGAAGAGGGACATGTAGTATGTAGGAAGATTCGCCACGGTGCTCTTCATAAGAGTTGCTTTCACCCTTTCGATAGGTACGGCTTCCAACCTGCAAGTCTCCTTACAAAGCACTCAACCACGGGATCCCAAACTGAAACCCTCCTCAACGAAGCTCCCAGAGGCAGCCCTAGATAGTATAGTGGAAAAGCGCCAACACTACATCCAAGGATATCCGTTAAATCATGGATCTATTCAACCGTCCTATTGGGAACCAATTCACTCTTTCCAATGTTGATCTTCAGCGCAAAAACTTGGAAGCATGCCAGAACACATCTTGAGAACCTCAACTTAGTGGAGCGGAATGTTGGGCCCTAAAAAGGAAACAAGAACAACACATTCATGTAGCGGAAATGAGAATGGTAACGTGGATGAGCGGAGTGAGTAGAAAAGATGGGTCACTAATGAGAGGAAAAAATAAGGTGTAGCACCCATTGATAAGAAAATTAAAGAGAGTGACTTAGATGGTTTGGACACGCATACATCCGAGACCTAGAGATGCACTGGTCAAATGAGGAAGGCAAGTTGTAATAGAACGTAATTAGAGGGTGACCAAAATTATCATTGGACAGGTTATTAGGAATGGCTTTTTTTTTATTTTTATTATTTTTTTTATAAGTAAAATTCATTAAAGGCACTCAAAAGGGGAGCGCTCCCAAGAGATCAAAAAGCTGCCACCAGAGACATTACATCTTTAAACTATCAACAAAATCCAAAGACTATCCAAGGATATACAATTAGGAATGACTTTAAAAATTTAAATATAGTAGTTGAAATGGCATGCAACATTGGAAAGAGAAAATTCATGTGGCCGACTTTATTCATATGGGATTAAGGCTAGGAGGAGGAGGATGATGATGTCTTCACAAGCTGGTGGCTATATATTGAGAGACATGGAAATTATAACTAATGATCTTAATTTTGAACATCTTGTAAATTGTCTGCTTCTCGTATGTTCTGCTAGAAGCTGTAGCTAACAGTTGCCTCATGAATGCAGTTCTTTATGTTATTGTTGTCATTTTCATCTAGTAATTTTGGCAAATTCTTATTGTGTTTGCAGTGAGGTTAATTTTATGAATTAGTTCATGGTTCATGCAGAAGGTGCCAATGCCTGAGCTAATACATTTCTCTTGTTTCCTTTGGCAGACTCAAGGAATGAGAGCAGGTGTTGTACCATACAGGAGTACGTTGTCTGCTTTGAGGAGAATTGCTAGTGAAGAGGGTATTCGTGGCTTATACAGGTTTTTTATATCCTCTGTCATGAACATAATGACGATGAATTTGTGAGTGCATTTGTAGTTGTGAATTTATTTCTAATGGCATCTGATGTGTGGTGGACAGCGGTCTTGTGCCTGCGTTGGCTGGTGTCAGCCATGTTGCCATCCAATTCCCAACTTATGAGAAAATTAAAGAATATTTGGCCAGTCGAGGTGAATTTTCACTCATTTTGTTTTTTAGTTTCCATGTACTATTGAATAAAGCAAGTATTAATTTAATTCGCTGATATCAGATAACACTACAATAGATAAACTTAGTGCACGGGATGTTGCTGTTGCCTCCTCAGTTTCCAAAATATTTGCATCTACATTGACATATCCACATGAGGTATGATGTCAAAAGATTATCCAGATTTTTAACAACTTGTCTTTGGTGGTTACATAGACCTGTAGTTTTGCCATACTGCTGCTTAAATTCATTGATAAGTAGAACTACATTCTATTCTCACAAAATTAATGTAGGTAGTACGTTCAAGGCTACAAGAACAAGGGCACCACTCTGATAGACGGTACTCTGGCGTTGCTGACTGCGTTAAGAAAGTATTTCAGCAAGAGGGCATCCCTGGATTTTACCGTGGGTGTGCAATCAACCTGCTCAGGACTACCCCAGCTGCTGTAATCACATTCACCAGCTTTGAGATGATTCATCGGTTTCTTGTTACTTCGTTCCCTCCTGATCCACACCCTCACACATTGTGAAAGATTAATCATCATCAAATTATCAGTGGATAAAGCAATGTGCATTACTATGCTAGCAGGCAAGTAAATTTTGGCCAGTGTCATTTTGTTAAGACGAGGATACAGCCTCCTTGATTGGATGTGTATTTCAATTTATTGGTCGGTGGAAGATACATTCAATAGCAATGGGAACCCTCATTGAACTTCTGTAATGTGAAGCTCGTGGAAAAAGTGAGGAGTACGACAAATTGATGATTATAATGACGATAAAGATTACATTGTGGACATTTTAAACATTTAAATTTTTTTTTGGAATACTGAATAATTGGGATCTGTTTCAAGTTTGCCCAGGATTAACATTCACTTACTATTTAATCTCATCTGTGGATTTTGGTTATCTTTTTTTTTTTAGTCTTCGGGATTTTATTTTTTAGATTTATCCAGAAAATAAAATTATGGTTGAGGGTTGTGGAGACCCAAAGGTGTTTTGACTGTCATTGTTATTCTATTTTTGCCTCGTTGGAATATCTGTTGTTTAACTTGCTGGGGAGTATTGGATTTTGGACATCGTTGAAATTCTTTTGAAATGGACACTACGCTCACCAGATTAAAATGTAATGAACTAGGGTTTGCATCGTACTAACGACTTAGTGTCTGATATTCTGTCCTCTTAACTCGAAGAATGCTACAAATTTTGAAATTATTACAGGATTTCCTTCTGTTCTCCGTCGTGAAGATGATTGCTTAGAAGTGTTTAATTCTCGAGCTATCTTGTAATACTAAGAGACTTCACCGTTTGGTAATAGGATTTCTGTTACTAGATGAAGAGGACTTTGAAGCGTCATGGGAAGATTGATCTCATGCTCATGGGAGGACTTGACGTCAATTCTCTCATTCTGCCTCTGATAGATTTCACCAAGCTATTTGTTTATACGGTTCGCTTGGTGTTATACATTTTCCAAAATCAAAAAAGAAACACGCGTTTCGTACACATGATATACAGGGTCAAAGCAGAAAAAGCAAGTACTCATGTTTCACTCCAAGGAGTGTTGCAGTGGTTTAAGCTCAGCTTGATTGAACTTCTACATTTGACGTAATCTGTTATGCTGCATTTGGTAAGCGAGAATAGAATGGAATACAAGTGGGAATGGTAAGCGGAATAGAATGGAATACAAGTGGGAATGAGAATGGTAATGAAATAGAATGATCATTTACCTTCTGTTGTTTGGTTGGAAGTATAAAATATATAGAAATGGAATGATAATTACCATTCTAATATTTGGTTGGATCAATTTAAAATTTAGAATGGAATAAATTTCAAATTGAGTTCTCCAAAATATTACTCTTAGTAACAAATAAATTAAATTAATAAAATGACATTCTTTTATAATTTTTTAAAAAGTAAATAGTGGCAGTGGCGGTGGTGGATGGTGGTGACGATGGTGGTACAGGTGGTGGTGTTAGAAGGCGGCGGCGGCGGCAATGGTGGAAGGCGGCGGCAGCGGCAATGGTGGAAGGCGGCGGCAGCGGCAATAGTGTGGTGGTGGTGGTGAAAGGAGATAGTGGTGTAGGTGACAGTGGTGGAAGCCAATGAAGGTTACTGTGGTGGTGGTGGTAGTGGAAGATGGCGGTAGTGGAAGGTGGTGGTGGAAGGCAGTGGTGGTGAAAGGCGGTGGTGGTGGAAGGCAGTGGCGGTGGTGGTGTTGAAAGGCGGTGGCGGTGGCGGTGGTGGTGGTGGAAGGTGATGATGGTGGTGGTAGACGATGGCAGCGGTGGTGGTGAAAAGCAGTGACGGGGGTGGTGGTTAGGGCTGCAAATGAGCTTAGCCGAGCTTTAGGTTGCTCAAGTTCAACTTGCCTAGATTTTAGTTGTGCTCGGGCTCGGGCGAGCCTAGCTAGGCCCAGCTCGGCTCAAGCTCGTGCTCGGCTCGGCTAAAGCTTGTGAGTATATATATATATCGATCAAACGATGCATTATCCATCGGCCCCCTGAAGCTATTAATAAGGGTTAATAAGATATTTATATAAGATACCGTTTTCGGAGACAAAGATTGCCACCATCTTCAACCATTAATCAGATCTTCATCTTTTCCACCAATTTCTGGTTCCACCAACAGGGAATGGAGAGAGCACAAAGTATCCTTGGTCACTGATGGAGTTGAAGGGAGGCCGATCAGTGAGGGAATAGAGAGAGTAGAGTAGTACTTGGTCGTCGATGGAGTCAAAGGGAGGTCGGAGCAATGGCCAGAGGAGTTACACGAGTTACAGAGCTTGAGGAGCGTCTCCGTGTTGCGGTTGTTTAGGGTTATATAAAAGATCCAATGACTTAGATGAAACCGTTACTTGGGCATTGGATTGTTTAGTTAAATGGATTTAAGGTGTAAGATGGGCTTCCAGTTGGCCAATTCAAGATTTACATGTATCCAATTGGGCTAATTAAAGATTTACATGTATTTGGGCTAAACTTATATGGATGGGATAAGTTTTTAAATATAAAAAATTAACTATTATATTTTTTTTTATATAAACGAGCCTACTCCTGAGCTTGAAAAATGAGCTCGAGCTCGAGCTTGGCTCATTTACTTAACGAACGAGTCCGAATTGTTCATGAACAACTCGGTTCATTTGCAGTCCTAGTGGTGGAAGGCAGTGACAGTTGTGGTAGTGGAAGGTGGTGAGGTGGTGGTGGCGGCAACGGTGGAAGACGGTGGTGGTGGAAAGCGGTAGCGGTGGAAAGCGATGACCGGTAGTGGCGGTAGCGGTGGAAAGCGATGACGGTAGTGGCGGTGGTGGTGGAAGGCGGTGGTGGTGGCGGTGGAAGGCAATGGCAATGGAAAGCGATGGTGGTAGTGGTGATGGAAGATGGTAGCAATGGAAGGTGGTGGCAGTGGTAGTGGCGGAAGGTAGTAGTGGTGAAGGTGGTGGTTGTGATGAAAGGCGATGACGATGGCAGTGGTGGATGTGGTGAAAGGCGATGACGGTGGCAGTGGTGGAAGGTGGTGAAAGGTGATGGCGGTGGCGGTAATGGTGGTGGAAAGCGGTGGACGATGGTGAAAGTTGATGGCGGTGGTGGTGGTGGAAGGCGGTGGTCGTGAAAGGTGGAGGTGGTTGTGGTGGAAGGTACTGGTGGTTTTTGAACTTGGAACATAAAGGTTTTTTGGGAATTTGAATTTTTTTTTAAAAATTTACTTGGGAATGGAATGACCATTCCATAGGTTTAGTTGTGGAATGGATTTTCATTCAAATGGAATAACCATTCCCACTTTAAATTACATATCAAACGAAGGAATGGTTGGAATGGACATTCCATTCTTGCACACCAAACACAACATTATAGATTGGGTCATATCACATTCATAAACTATTGAAGAGTACCCCTAGGTAAGTTGACTCTCACAAGTCATGTGCAATTAAAGAACCGGCATATCATAGGATTTAGGGTTTTAAAAATGCGTACTTGCATCATCCAAAAATTGACTAAGAAAGTGTTTTTTTTTGGTGAAAGTTACCAACCAATAACCTTGTCTATGAGAAAATGATACTTGATGTCAATGTGCTTGCTCCTACAATACAAAGTAGGGTTCTTACTGATTTCTATGGCACTTTGATTGTCAAAGTAAATGACGTACGCAGAAAATTCTATGGGGCCAGGGGACACGTGCCCCCCCCCCCCTAAATTTTCTCCTTCACCATATATTCTAATATAAATTTCTTGTATGTAAAGTGTTCCACTTGAATTTTCTCCCTCTTAATGTGTTTCCTTTTCTTTGTTTTCCTAAATTGTTTATTTATATTCTACATATACAATTTTTTAATTTACTTCATTCCAAAAATATATTTATCAGTTTATATATATATATATATATACATAATGTGACCCTCCTGAAAAAGAAATTCTGACTCCATCCTTGTGCTTGAGCATGTGGGCTCCACATCATTCGGTGGAGGTCCTTTTTTTTTTTAGTGCTCGGCCTAAGCTGAATTGGCTTATTGATCATTTTTCTTTATACTTGTTGATTTCAAGTAGAACTTATTAGCAATTTGGAGAGAGAGAGAACCCATTGTCTAATCACTCAAAAAGTTGTATTGATGAGAGAGAGAGAGAGAGAGAGAGAGAGATAACCCGTTGTCTAATCACTCAAAAGTTTTATATTGATAGCATTATAGCTGGGAGGGTCATCTTAATCTAATACTGATGAACTATTTAGGATGAGAAAAAAATTCTCAAACGGCCTAGGAACATGCCCCCAAACTAGGTGCATGCCCCACTGGAAAGCTTAACTAGCCGCTGGATGCTATTAGAGAAACTACACATGACAACTCTTTCAATCCCAAATGCCAGTTTAAGTGTACTAATAAAGGAGAATGGTCCAATACATGACAACTCAAACGCGGGAAAAAGGGTTTAGACTAACTTTATCTTCTCATCGGGAAGCTTAATGTCCAACCTGGAGGCCCAGGCAGTAAATCAAGTAGGCAATTTTTTTTTTTTTTTTTTTTTTTTAGGAAAAAAGCCATTTTTAATGTGGACATCTCTTTTTCTATAAAATGCAACTGAATCCACATATCCATTGGATGTGATTAAAAGTTCATTCACATCAATGGGACCCATGGGGCAGAATTCTTAAAGCATTTGAATTATATAAATATTTATTTGGTGAACAACAATACTTAAGTTTTTGATTAATATGTAGTCTATCCTGAGTGCGACTAGGAAAGTAAATAAATATCAAATGAACAATATATTCTCATCATCTTTAATTTTGTAATTAAAGAAGATGTGTCCATTTGTAATAAGGTGAAAATTATACATAGAAATTTTAATTTTCAAACTTAGATTACTAAAATATTTTATCTCTTGTATTTTCAAATTTAAATAATTGTATGAGATTGTATCTAATCCATTTTAACTTACATAATATGTATTTTAATATAGAATCTCAATTACAATATCCAAGAGAGTGAGATTCAAATCAATCAGTTGTTTTATGGTATCAAAGCTCTTTTTTGACAAACGTCTGCTTTCAAATGGAGTCATATTCCCTGGTTATTGTTACTACACAAACTCTTATGCTCCGCTCAGCAGGAAAGAAAAAAATTAAATGGAAGGAAAAGAAGAATGGATGAATGAGATATTCCTAGGGAAGAGATTGTATCTTTCATTTTTTTTGTTCGATTGGATGAAAGAGAGAATAATAAACTCACAATTTATTCTATCTGTTATGAAAGATAAAATTTTAATTTTTTTTTACCATCATGTCTAATAATATCTATAATATTGTAATAGAGGATAGGATTGTAATTTAAAACTTGTGTAATGTAGAATAGTATTAAATTTAAAATTTCTAAAATAGTCCACAAATTTAGCCGCACTGATATCACACTCTACCACGCTTTA